GCAGCTGCCCCCCTTAGGCCCCAGGCCTCACTCTCTCAGGATGGGGTTCCAGGCCTGGTGTGACAGAGCCCAGGGAGATGGCTCTCGGAGCAGCTGTGAGTGTCATCTGCCTCTCCTGCGGCTCCAGAGATGAGTATCAGTAATTACAACTCCCGAAGGTCACAGCTTTCATTTCATCTCGTCGTGTTGGGAGAAAAGTTCAAGCCTCTCTTCACATGTGCACAGCGCAGGTTCAGCCTTCCCGAGCCAGCCACCGGCTTCCAGGAGGGAGGAGACAGCAAGGACATGCCCACGGGCCAACGCAGTGGCCTGGAAGAGCGAGGAGCCCAGGAGAGGAGAGGCCAGCTGGCACAAGTGGCCGAGAGGGACGAGGGGACAGAGGCCGCTCAGAGAGGCAGGGTGGTCTGACCCACAGGAGCATCCCCCCCGCCCCGAGATCTCATCATCTGTCCTGCTGTGATCGACCCGCCTGCTGTCCCAAGTCCCAGCCCCCAGAAAGGACAGCGAGGAAAGCAGCCCCTGGAAGGAGGCGGTTGCACAAGGCCAGAGTGATTTTAAGTAGCCCCCAGAGGGTGGCCTTCCAGGACAGAGCTGCGGTGGCACTGGGGTCCTCGGCCCGAGGGCTGCGTTGATTGTGCTGCCATGGCGGGCCGTCGTGTGAAGTGGCAGTCCTGCTTTAGGTGAGGAAGGGCTTTGGCTCCATTGATAAGACTTCCCTCCCCTGGCAGTTCTATTTCAGGAGAAAGCCTTCCCTGTAGTAGGCGCTCCTGCCAGGCCTTCTCTCCTGCTCGTATTATGCTAATCATCCCTGCAAACAGGCAACTTTGTAGGAGGTTTGCCTGGTTTTAGATGAAACATACGCCTTTGAAGCAAAGAGCCACCGTAGCTAAAAATATCATTTCCCGGCTGTTGATCCTCTCATTTGTAAAATGCATGTTTCCATTGTTAAACCCACAGCAGCCCCTGGCCGAGAGGGAGGCTCTCCACTGCTGGCCGGCGCCCTGAGCCCGCCCACGGGGAGGCGCCACCTGCCCGGAGCCCTGCTCCCGCCCTGCCGCCGACAGTGTCCGTGAGGGAGTCTGGGACAATCACACACGTACAGGTTTCTAACCGCTTTCTAATTTAGAAATATTGAGTCATCAGAAGAGTCATGACATATTTTTCTGTATTTTTCTACACAAAAATGCGTCATGACTTTTCCAGCGACCCAGTATTTAAACCGTGGCAAATAAAAATTGAGATAATGCAGAAAGCATAGCGTAAAATGCAAAGACGTTTACCTCCACTTCCTCTCCCGGAAGGAGCCTCCTCATGTAGTTCCTTCCAGAACCCTCCCTGTGCATTTGTAAACCTACGCCTTGGTGGCTGTGGCTTTCCAACAGCAGATTCTGGACTCTGGGTTGCTCTGCAGCTTGTGTTGGTCTCACAACCTCCCGCCTGCGGGCAGGGCACATCTCCCTCGGGATCCTGACCTCGGCTGGTCACTGCGCTCTGCCCTGGGCCAGAACACAGGGACTCAGGGACACTCTCCTGCTTTGAGGCAGTGGCCACATCTTAGGGTTCAAATCCATCCCGCACGTTTCTCCGCGTGGTTGCCTGGTCTGTCTGCTCAGGTGGGCAGTGGCGAGCCTGGGGGAGGGGAGCAGGAGACCTGAGATGAGGACACGTCCCCCAGGGTGCTGGCCAAGGACGCCTCACTTCTGCGGCCTTTGCTTATTCTCACGCATTTAATCCAGTGAAGATTTCCTAGGCCGGCAAGGAACATTTGGACGAAAAGCCAATTTCATGCATCTTGAAATTCCCTGAAAATGACTGATCACAAAAGGAATTTTTTCAACCTCCTGGCAGGGGGTAGGGGAGGGTACAAATAAGAGAACCCCCCCCACACATACAGACACACACACACTTGACCACAATAACTGAAGCAGCCCCCTTCGTGCTGCCTGCCCCCCCACCCCATTCTGCTATTGCTCATCCCCCTGCCCAGCCTTTTCAGCCGCTAATCTTTTTACCATTTTCTACGAGACTCTGGAGACGCCGCGTCTCTGCGGCGAGGCTGTTCTGACATTTGCTCTTTGTTGCCAGCCGTGGGTATTAGTGTTTAACTTCCTGTGCTGTTTTCAGACGCTCGTCTCAGCGCCCTTTTGCAGGGACGTATGAAGAGCGGCAGAAGACAGCCTCGGTCCATGAAATCTCACAGAACCCCAGACTAGAGATTTGAAGACCAGAATGGCACCGCTCGTTCTCCTCTTGGGAGGTCGTGGGGGGCAGGGTGCCATCG